ATGAAAACTATTGCAAATCCCATGGGATCAGACTAGAGAAAACAGTACTAAAAATTTCTTAAATGAATGGGGTGGTAGAAATGATATATAGATCTATTACTAAGTCAGTCAAATGTATGCTCTCCAATGCTAAGCTATCAATATTCTTCTGGGGTGAGGCAATCAGTACTATAGTTGATTTGATCAACATTTTTCCATTAGTTCCTTTGGATGGTGATATCCCAGAGAGAATATAGACAGGCAAAAATGTATCTTTTAAACACTTGAGAGTTTTTTGTTGTCAAATATTTGTTTATATTACCAAAGATGAGAGGCTAGAATTTTATGTGAACTTTAATCAATGCATTTTCTTGGGCTATGGGTATGAAGAGTTTGGTTACAAATTGTATGTTCCTATTGAAAAGAAATTCATCAGAAGCAGAGATATTATCTTTCTTGAAGATTAAATCATTGAAAACATTAATAAAGATGATAAGCCAAGATCCTTAGATGACATTCTTTCTAATTCGGATCCAGTTTTAATACTAGTTAACTTTGATCACGGGAGAGTTGAGACATAGCAAAGAGAGAGTAGTGATAGTGATGGCCCTGCTACTAATGAATCTGAGCAAGAGACACCACTAACTCCACAACCACCACAAGATGAGTGTTAGAGATTTGCCAGAGAGAGAAGATCTTTTAGTAAATATAATCCTAATGAGTATGTGCTGCTGATAGATAGAGGGAGTCAAAGTTCTACAATGAGACTTTAGGGCATGAAAAGAAAAAAAAACTGGTTGTAAGCCATGCAAAGGAGATGGTGTCTTTATATGAGAATCACACATATGACTTGATGAAATTGTCTGAGGGCAAGAGAATACTGAAGAACAAATAGGTAGACAAGTTGAAAATTCAATAGCACTAGTCATAGCCAAAGTACAAAACAAGATTGGTTATGAAGGAATTCAGCTAGAATTTGGATCCAACTAGACAGATTCTTGGGATGAAAATCTCTTGAGACAGGCAAAATGAGAAGATTTGGTTGTCTTAAAAAAAGGTTATTGAACAGGCCCTTGACAAGTTTAACATGAACAAGGTTGAGAAAATCTCTACTCCACTTATCGGTCATTTCAAGTTAAGTATCAAACAGTGTCCTACAAGTGTGAAAGATAGAGAAAACATGAAGAAGGTTTTTTATATATTGACTATTGTTAGTTTGATATATGCTATGATTTGCACTAGATTAGATATAGCTCATGCAGTTGGGGTAATCAGTAACTATTGCTATACCTAGTCAAGGTTTGACTAGATGATTGGTCACCCAACTCTTATGACTTGATGAATAGGGGCCATACAAAAATGCAAGAAGCATGAACTTGTGACATAAAAAAGAGAGCCAGCCTCTATTTTGGGTGGAAATTGGAAGAGAGAGAAAAAGGGAGTTGGGGAAAAAGGAGCTAGAGAGAAAGAAGTTTTGCAACTTCAAGACATTAATTGGATGGTGGTTTGAAACCCGATTAAGATGAAATTTTAGAGGCGTGACCCTTTCGTCAAACTCTGCCCATCTATTGGTATTGATTTTGGATTTTCTTTTGTGTGGTAACATATTTTCAAACCCACTTCTTTGATAGTTATAGTTTTTTGGGATATGAATTTATAGCAATTTCATTTGGTTATTACTATTTCAATCTAGTATCTATTCAATGATAGATTGATGATTTGATCCAACCTAGGGCCCGATGTGTGAGGGAAAAATTGTTGAATTTATATCACATTGGTTGTAGAAGGGGTAAGATACTTGATTATAAGTGTAAGGGAAAGTGTCATCCCTTGAACTGGTTTTGCAAACAGGAAGGTTCAATAGAACCCAACACTTAATTGATATTTTCTTACTTTTAGAGACTTGATTGAGACATTTATATATTTTAGAGGACCGGCATCACATTAACTCCCACGAACTAATGCTCCAAAATAAAATCCTACAAGTATATAGGGAAAAGGGTTTGTGTAATGAGTGCTTAATAGACAATCATTAAAAGAGTATATGTTAGTTTTTTTAAAAAATAATGTTAAATCAAGACAGCATTTTTTTTCTTAAGTGAGAATACTTGAACCCAAGATCTTTTAGTTACAACCTCTCCTATCTTATCACCCAACCCAATCCTTCCCCCATCAAGAAAGTATTTAAATGTAAATGAAACACTAAATATGAATATGTTCATTTAATTGTAAATTAGATATATATAATTTTTGAAACTAGGTATAAGTTAGACATGCTAACAAGCATCTACTCAATACTCCATTAGGAACATCTTAAAGAAAAAAAATAGAAAACCAATGCTATCTCATTCAAGTTAGTTTGCCCAACAAAAGTATAATATAAAACATAGAATGTATATAAACTCATTTTCTGTTAAATGAAATTGATAATTTCACATCCCTACCTTAAGATTTAGTACAATTGTAGAAAGCTCTACTTAGGTAAAGAAAATGTAACTCCCTTGACAATATAATATACCTATTTTACTCTTAACCAAAAAAACCTAAAGCATGTATCCATTTTAGTTTAAACAAAAAGAGGTATTGAGTGTGTTTGGATATGAAACTATTAGAAAATGATTATTTAGAATAATACTGTAGAACTTTTGTGATGTAATGCATGTAAGATAAAAGCGTGATTGAAAATTGTGTTTATGATATATGTAAGATAATATTTGTTAATTTTTTTCCCAAATTATACTGTCAAAATGAACCAATATCCTTTGATTCCCCTCTAATAAAGTAGTGGAGTACTAGAGGATTTTTTTTTTGAGTTGTGATAGAAAATGTGAAATGTTTAGGATTTTATTTACCTATTTTGCTACTAAAAGCTATATTTTAGGTTCCATTTGTTTGACAAAAATGTCATGCAAGAAAGTGTGTCGCGGGAAAAATGAGGTGAAGTGATGTAAAGGTAAAAGAAACTAAATTTCCTGTATGTGTTTGATAGATAAGAAAATAATATAGGAAAATTTGAATTGTTGTGTTTGGTTGATAAATGTTATAGGAAAATTGTTTAAACTTCTTGGATAGATACTATCGAAGTATTAGTACATTGGTTAGAGACTAACACATTGAAATATAAAAATACATTCATTTGCTAAAATATTACCTAAAAAGAGCATAAAATAAGTCATAACATATTTAACTGCATAATTATTTCAAAAAAAAATAATAACTAACATGAAAATAAAGTTGAATGATGCTATTACATCTACGTAATTTATTCAAAGTCATACCATGAAAATAAAGAAAACACAAAAATACATCACCGTCAATGAACTAAAAATTATTTTTTTCTCTTTATAAACTAGAGATTCTTATTAGTTACTATTTTAATCAGACTCAAACTTTCATAAGGCATTTAAGAAATCCTCACTATAATCGTCGTCATCATCAACCCTGCTCAAGCCGCCAATGTTATAATGCCTCTTTAAATAGATATAATTCTCTTATCAAGTGGATAAGTTAAAAATGTCATTGCTTTAGTCTCATCTGCCACAAGACTCTCAAATATTTCTTAAACACAATTTTCATCCAAACCTTCAACTGCCTTTATGTCGTTAAGCAAAGTAGATAGATTGATAAATGCTTGTTCATCTTTTCTATCAATTGCTTCTGCCATTTGCTTGATACTTGATGCAACTGCATTTATGGTCTGAATGTAGGTTTTGGCATTTTTTGCACGACGAGTTTCATCCTTATCAGTTGTGTTTGAGGATGAAGCGCCTTGATCCTTAGCAACAATTTGTTGGGGAGTTTCTTTAACTTGACTGTTATGTTCACCTTCATCTACTTCCACCACATCTTCCAATTCATTTTCATTTATGGTTCCATTCTTTCTCATTTGTTTTGCATTGATATTAGGACCACCATTCGCTAGTTGCTGCATCACTTCCACAAAACGATTCCCAATTCTTCAAGCATTTTAATGCGCTTATGTCTTAAATTTTTTAGTCTTGGGTATGCCTACAAAAAGAATATATAAAATTATCTAAACTTTAAGAATAGTTTTAATAATAAACATGATTTTTTCAGGATGAGTTTTGTTGGAAACTTGGGGGAAAATTTTTTTCTTGTGGGTCCCACTACTTTCATCAAACAAATGACAAAAAATTGCGCTTCTCTTCCACTTTTCCAGTGAGGTTGTGCAGTAAAAACAGTAAGAGGAGGGAAGGTTTGAGTAACTTTCTAAACCTTTTGCGAACTTTCAACAATTATTTTAAACTTTAGGGGAGGTTTGTCGAATTATCCCTCAAATCAGAAAATAGTGCAGGTGCAGCACCCTAGCACCCGATTCGGTTTACTAAAATTAAAACTAAGGGCCAAAAATCTAAATGGCCCTCAAATTATATAGTTGGTGAATTTTTAACCCTCCAACTATTAAGTACATACTTTTGCCTTTCGAATATGTACAAGGAATACCCTTCACCTTTTTTATTAGAGATAATTTCAAAAATCTTCCCTAAAATTTATGATAATATCACTTGGCACCTTTACAGTTTTAGAGATATTACTCAACTCCCATATTAATGAGATGGGACCATTAATCACTATCATAATACATGAATTAACAAAATTATCTTCACTACTTTAACAATTTTTAGGCAAAACATTATAGAAAAGAAAATTTTTAGCCAAAACATGCAAATATAATATTTTAATCAACTTGATAGAAAATTCAATATGAGACAACACAAAAGGGTAGAATTGGGAGAGAAATATATATCTCTCATTAATTAATTATTATAAGAATATTTTAATGGTACAAGTGTGAAATTGTTACAAAATGCATGATTTTATGGGAAGTTAGTGAATATTTTTGAAACTATAGGGGTGATAAGTAATATTAACATAAATATCGGCGAGGTTTCTAAAATTATTTTTAGCCAAGATGGTGGAAAGTATGCCTTTCTACACGTTGGAGGAGCAAAACCATATACTTAGTTGGTGACTAAAAGTCGACTAATTTAATACTTTTGAGGGACATCCAAATTTGGTGATGATTGTCAGCTACCCCATTTCCAAACTCTCCTCGTTTTCCCTTTCTACCAAAGACCAAAGTTGCAATTTCTCTGAATTAACAGAGGATTCAAGATGTCTTTAAGCTTTCCTCTTTACCTGAATCCCAGCTTGTAAGTTTTCTCTTTCCTTTTCCTTTACTACTGGGGTTTCACCCTTAAATTTTGTTCATTCATTGCAAGTTCAGATGGTGAAGTTTCTGATATTTTGATTCTAAGATGTTTATTTCAATGCTAAGCTGTTGTAATTATCAATTTGTGCCACCAAAAAGTTGTAGCAGTAGCATTAGGAAGAGTGGAGAAGGCGGCAGCAGCAGCAGCAGGGCTGGGAGTATGAAGGAAGCCTCTGCTGTTTCTTACAAGAAGTTCATTGATTTTGCTCTGGAGGAAACCAAAGTCCATACCCATTTGGCTCCTTCTCCACTGCAGGTACCCATTGTTCTATTTCAGTACTGTTTTTGTTGTTCTCTATTTCCAGGTAAATAAGTAGGCAACCTTCTCTGAAATGCAGAAATTGCAGTCGGAACCCATGTGTTCTTTACTGCTAATTTTAGGACAAGAAACAACTTTAGACCGATTTGATTTAATTTTGTAGAAAAGGGGTTTTAGAATAATCGACAAAATCTTGCCATACATATCATTGTTCAGGGCAATGAAGAAAAATAAGTCAAGATTATTGGTCTCTTTGGTTGGACTGGACATGTTTTTAGTTGGGGTCGTGATATAGGTACTCCATTTTTGTTACTGCCACTATATCTGGTTCACTACTTGTTAGTGGCATTCTATCATGTGTATGCAACTTCTACAGATAATATAAAGCAGGTAAAGTGGAGAATGCCAATGCCGCTGTTTGCTTCCTCTTATTGGTAGAAGTTACTGGGGATGGAATGCCAAGGCTGCCTCCCTTTAAGTTGTGCCTAGCATTGGGAAGTACTTTCAAGCGTAAGACATTGTTCTGGTTTTCTTCCCTCTGGCTGAAGATAGCTTGCAGATGACGTGAGCGGTAGTTACATTCCAGATGGTTCGGAACTGACTCTAATACCTCTCGTCCCTGTGGTCTCCTCAGGAGCCCCATGGTGATAGAAGTATCATGTTCAAGATGTTGCTGTAGTTTCAGCTTATTATGCAATTTTAATCTAATCAAATTCTTACCATAACTGCTACTCTAGTATTCCCGAGTCTGGAAAGTATCTGCTTAAAAAATGTCGTGAAGTGTCAACTATACTGGACAAGTTTCTAAATGAATGTATCCCATTTACTAGTTTCACCTTATCGGTGCATTATGCTTCTCTGGTCTGATTTTATATCATTGAATAAGTACAATGTTGTATTGTTTCTCTTGCCTACAGAAGAAATTCAATTCCTTAACGAGTATGGACGGGCGAACTGAACTCCAAATGCTCTCATTTGAAGCACCTAAAGTTCGACTTCTCCGTTGTTTGTCAATTGAAGGGAATGACGGCATGGAGGTGCACTTTAATTTCATCCCGTTGTACATCTATACACAGTGTGCATTTTGTGTAGCATATACTTTTTATGAATTCAGTTGCTTAATGTGTTGATTATGAAAGAGTTGTGACTGGGAAGAAGTAGACAGAATTTGACCTGAAAACACTATATCTAATTAGAGTATTCTTGAGTTCCTCATCAAAAGGTTAATGGTAATGCCTCTCTCTTTCTCTTTGTCTCTGAAATTCCAAGAGGATTCATTTGATCATCATGCACTTTCTAGTTGGCTCTGCTTCGCCATATTAGAATAACTTTGGTGTATGGAATGTACCCTACCATCTTTAGGCATGAAATATCTAAATTTGTCTAGTTGTTGAAGTCACGGCAGGGTTATTAATGAGTGTGAGTATTTTTTTTTTCTTTTGGCACATGCGCATGCTTAAAAGTTTATGCTCTACCAACAATTACTGATTTGTGATAAATTAACTCTGGTGGTGGACTCAGATGAACGTTGACAAGAAGATTTGTGTTTCTTGGATCTTTATTTTCACATGTTTGATGAACTTCACAACTGATTAAAACTTGTTCTGCTGATCAATTTCCATGTAATATAGGTTAGACAATTATTTTGGACCATGAATGTTGTGTTACCCAAGTAGGCATAGACATGCATTCTTTACTTAACAGTTATGGAGAATGAAATTTCAAAGTAATTTCAAATAGTCTACAAATTGCTTACAACCCACCAAATTATAAACATCTACAATACCGAGTAAGCTATGTGTTGTTTACAGAAATTTGAGGCAGTTTAACTAGGAAGTAACTTGGCTGCTTGGGAGAGATTGAGTTGTTTACCTGTTTATTTTAAAGGATAATCAAATTGAAAAGCAAACATAGAAGATAGCCTACAAAGTGTTTAAATCAGCAAGTGCTATGCCTGTATGACAATCATTATGCCAGTACACACTTGTGAGGGCAGTTTAACCAGGAAGCTGTGGCTGCTTGAGAGAAGAAAGAGTTCAATGAAATACTACAAAACTTTCTGATAATAACTGGCCAGCTAACTAGTGTTATGAATTATTATGTGACATGAGATCTTTAGTAAAATATAAGCACAGCTCTTCCAAAATTTTGGTTATTTTATGATACTGGAGACTAAAAGTAGTAGAAGTTCTCATTTTTTTTTTTTTTGGTTTCACAGCCTTATGTAATTCATCTATCTTTTCTAAGTTGATTTGATATAGAGTATTGCTGCAGGTTTTGGATTTTGCGGTGTTCCCTAAGCCAGAATTTGATCTTCCTATATTTTGTGCCAACTTTTTTACAGCTGCTAGCACAAACATAGTTGTATTGTAAGCTATCTTGTTTTCTCTTTTGTCTTTTACTTTTGGCTAAGAGAGCACTTCGATGATGTTGTATTCTTCTTCTGTTACTGAAATATATTTAACACTTATAATAACATTAGAAAGCATAGCTTGTAGAAGTAGCTTGATATAATAGTTGGATACTTGTCTTAATGTGCATTTTTGCAGGGTATAACTTGGTTAAATAGCTAAAAGTTTATGTTAAAAAATTCAGGCGTTGCTCTAGGTTGACAACTAATGGACTTCAGATAACAGGGTTTGATAGGTTAACCATTGGTTCTTTAAAACTTTGGTATCCATAATTAATATGCCCTTTTTTATTTGCTTACGTCTTCAACACATTTTCCAACCACCTTTTTATCTCACATACATCACATCGAAAAAGTGCTATAGTATTTTGTTCAAAACATTATTCCTCATAATCTACTATCCAAACATAGCACATAGTTTTCCATCCATAATACTCAACCATCTTCTTTTGCTTTCTAAGATTAGTATAACGGAGCCGAGTTAGAAGTTGTATTTTTTTTTTATTTTTTACTTGGCTTTGTATTTTTACGTCATACATGAGGGAGCAATTATTGTCCAATTCACTTAGCTGCATTTTCAGGCTCTTATCTTGGTTGCTTGAGGCAGAGGTGAATGTGACAGCTATATATAGCAATCAGGAGGATGTGATTTTTGTTGTCCAAATTATTGCTACTGTGCTTTTCTTTTGCATTTTTACATCAACCATGATACTCAAAGTTTGTGATATGTGGCTTGTTCTGGATTGAAGACTGTTGAGAGTTGTTTTGGTGAGCAAGAGTAAATATGGTCTTGAAGTAACTGAGAAATAACTAATCATTTGACTGTAAGTATTGTAGTTTGTTACTGACATTGCTTGACAAGACTACATGTTTTGATTAAATAGGTGTTGGATGTAATGGAAGGGACCTCAAATCACATGATTTCCAAACTTGATAACTGGCCTTTCTGTTGATATCAAATATTTTGTCCTATATTGGGAGCTGGCAGATAGAATGATTGTGGTAATGCATTGTCTTGTGACTAGAGTTTGTTTGAGCTCTTTCAGGGACCTCAATCCCTTGCATGCTGTCACAGATCGGGATGACTACAAGGAGAAGTATTACAGACACTTGATTCCTCTTGGCTTAAAGTATGCTGAGGTAAAAAATTGAATAGCACAGCATCACAAACTGCAGATTCTAGAAAACTTCAATTAACACCAGCTGAAACTATTGCATGGTGACTTAACACAGATTTCATGCAGCTTTTACCCTGGGGTGGAAAGATTACCAGTGAATCTTTGAGGTTTTTCTCACCAATAGTAGTATGGACAAAGTTTTCTTCAAGCCAAAACTATTATGATGTTTTATTTTCTGCATTCAAGGATTACTATAAGGTAAATACAACTAACTTGCTTTAATATGTTTCTCGATCAATCTTTCCTGTGATCACTTTCTCTGACACTCTGTAATTTAGTTTGGAAACTGGGTGCCTAATTCAATCGATCTGCTTTATACCCTCACTCTTCTTTCTTTGAATTGTGGATGATAAGTATGGAATGAATCAAAAGAAGTTAACTAGATTTAAGAATTGGGCTTCAGTGCATTGCTGCGGTACAACCACTGGATGTTTAATATGTTAATGCAAAATGGCCTCTATGTGGTAGCCTGTGATACTGATTTTGTTCAGGGTTTTCTCTGTCACAGAAACCACGCTATTGTATTCCATGAGACACGAGTTTAAGTGTTTGGATGAAATTTAGGAATTCTTTTGAAATAACTGTGATGGTGACTTTGTTCTTCCATCTTCTAGGCGTGGCTTGAGTTGATGGAGCAAGCAACTGAAGAGATTGATACTTCTGAAATTGTTTCCAACCGTGAGGCACAGCATAGGTATCTCATGTGGAGGGCAGAAAAGGTATTTTTACATTTATATTAAATGTTTTTCATGACTGACTTGACAATATTGTTGTGTAATGTAACTTTTGAGCTAGCATCATTCCTGTCAGCTTGCTGTGCTTATCATTATGGCTTTTCTTACGAAGAAGATTGCGAAAGAAGAAAATACAGAGAAATATTCAAGTATTTATCAAAAGCACATAAGAAAAGCTGAGAGTTTTGAATTACTTTTTATGGGCAATAATCTGAAGGTTTGCCTATCTCTTTCTGAGCGGTCATTAATATTGGTGTAATTTATGATTGTATTCTGATTTTATCTATCCTTGAAGAGTATGTACTTAAAGGTGGAAGATATTCTCAGTGTATGCTCTTTTGTAAATTGAAATTACATTACTGGATATTGCTATAATTTCTAAATGTCATTGCATAGCTAGCAAAGTTGATGACTACTGGTCACTTTTCTTCATGATAAGTCAAAAATAAGATGCATATAACATCTAGCCTGTCAATAGTTGTGTTGTTTTTTCGAAGTTTGGATCAGAACTTCTGTTTTACGATGTATATACATGGTGCTGTAGTAAACCATTCAACTCGTAGGTTTTCCAGTGCAGCTATTGCATGATTGTTACATGTGAAATGTAAAGTAAGTTGATCAATGTGAAAGTGCATTGTATAAATCAAACTTGTTGAATCTTTGATACAAACTTTTGTCAGGAAGTTCAGGTTTTAATGGAAAACCTTGACCTGATCAGTTTAAAGTTCTATTGCTTCATCTATTCACTTTCTGTCAATATGCATTCACCTGATGCAACTTCTCCAAAGCAGGATCCTGGGCATCGACTTCTGAGAAGACTGGTTGGGGAAGCTCTTGCAGAGGTATCCTTTTTTTTTTGGTTGCTGACTACCAATGAGCATTTAATGTATTAACTTATCCAATTGTTCTTGATCTAGGAAATACTAAGGAGCTTCCTCTTTAATGGAGTTCAAGAGCTAGGGAGCAAAACATTTTTGGATTACTTTCCTGAGTACAGGAGTGACAACGGGACCATAAACGAGAAGCGAAGCATGATTGGAAAATCGTTTGAAAATCGACCCTGGGATACTGAAGGCAACTTTCTTGGAAACAGTCTTAGATGGTGAAAACTAGCAACTTCCCCTACATTGTACAAAATTGTCTTTTCCTTTTTCTCTCTCTTGCAGAAAATTTTGGCACAGTGCTAGGTATATGCGTTTATGTTTCTCAAAGGATGTAGAAAACAGTTTTATGTACTTGGCATGAGTGGTTTCGTTTTACCATTTTCTGTTGTTCCTGCATAAACGAAAGCCATAATGTGTAAATCCATGAGGTAACTAGTTTTCTTTCTTTCATAGCTATGAGTTCTTTTCATTTTATTTTTTCAAATTGAATAGGATTATGGCAGTCAATTGATAATCAGAAAACAAAGCCATCCGTGGTAGCATTGTGGAAGGCTGGAAATGATTTGGGGGGAATAATGCATTTGACCTCCCATGTTCAAATAATGAGTGTTCTAGGCTGCCACCAATCCGTTTAAGCATGTTTCGACTTTGCAGATCCTGTGGATGGAGTTCTCAGAGAAGATTCTTCTTCGGATAGAAAGTTACCCCTGATCCTGTTAAAAGGCAAATTCCATATGTCAGTTATATTACACTAGTAACTCCTTTTCACTATTCTCAGATCTCAAGGGCATTTCTACCTTTGACTGAAACTGGAGGCTGAAGCAACCGGCTGAATTCATCCGGCAGATTACTGCACTTGAAATAGCTTGCAATTCATTGATTAAACTGATACATTTTCGACATGTTATTAGAATCGATCAGGCAGCATGCATCCTCCCCTATATGCATACAATTCCAACTTGCATCGATGCTTTACGTGGTGTGGAGCCAAATGTTTCAGCTTAAATCATCAATAGTTAAAAGGGAATATGATCATTTCATCTCTCACATTTCACAAAAATATTCTTTTCGTCCCTTACTTTTGAAACAAAGCAAATTTGTACTTGACATTTAAAAATTGAAACTATTTCTTTCCCAAAGTCAACTTTCAATCTGAATCCAATCACCTAATAACTCAATTACAAATTTTGGGAGTATAATTGGTAGATCACTTGGTTAAATCAAGATATTTGCATGAAATTTAATGAACCCAAAAGGGAAAATAAAAAATTATAACATAAAAAAGAAGGATTAATTTTTTCTATATTGTCATTGCATACTCTGATGGATCCAGATACTCGTCACATCATTTCAATTTAAATTTAAACACCAAACTTTATATGTATGGTATACATCTAGATTCACAAGTATAATATACTAATGGTGCATGAAAAGATTTAGCCAAAAAAGAAACCCTACTATTCCAAGAAAAAGAATGGCCTTTTTATGTTATAAAGTTTTAATTTTTTTCCTTTTTTGGTTCAATAAATGTCACGTGAATGTGATGGAGTTGACCTAGTGATTTATCAATTCTATCTCCGGCATTTATTATTGGGTTACTAGTTGATTTTATTCATATTGAAAGTTGGGTTCAAGAATATAATAGTTAAAATTTTTCAATGTCAAGAATGAATTTTCTTCGTTTTAAAAGTGAGGGATGAGACAAATATTTTTGGGAAATGTGAGGGATAAAATATGTCATTTTCCCTAGTTAAAACTCTCAAGATGCATTCGCCTGTATTAGAATAACACTTGATTGTTGAAATACTAGCCCTTAAATAAGAGAGCAAATTGTTAGCCTATCGGTTTGAAAACACGAACAAGGACATTCGAATTTGCCTGCTAAATGTTGGCATTAGAATGTCTTCATTAGCAGCTAGCAATCGAACATTGTAAGCTAACAGGAATTGCTAGTGGCATACTGCTACTGAAATGTATTCTATCAACTACCCATTGTTAATTGTTCTATCTGGTGCTGATTCGTCTAACCTTTTACCTGTGATATTGGATGCTCAGACTTCATTTAACTTGCTTTTCACATTATTTTCCTCCTCTGTTGAAACCTTCAAAAGCTCAGTCCATCAAACAAGCCAGAGACTGGGGGACAAAGCGGATGAAGAGGAGTTAATTGGAATTAAATGCATTAAAGAAGCTCTATGCCATAATGTTGTTTGAGCTAGCCAGTTGAATCTTGGTTAAGGTTGCCTTTGATAAAACTGAAGTTTAAAAATGAAAATTGAAGTCTAAATCCATTAAGTTATTGAATTGTTGAGTATTAAATCTAATACATTTGAGTGTATATCACATTCAATGATAAGTGAATACTTTATTCCTTAATTTTGAGAGCAAGTTTTGTATAGAAAACTTAATGTCATTTAATTTATTCAGATGTTCAATTTTTGATTATCAAATGCATCTGAACATGTTAAAATCTGAATCCATTAAATTTAAATGTTAAATTGGGTTATCAAACAAGGCAAGGTTCCCGTGATCTTCAACAACATTTACTAAACAAGATCATGGACATTTATACTCAAAACCTTAATGTGTTTTTTTAGAAATTATTAATTTTTCGATTAATTAGCCTTACCTTATTCTCCATTGACCAACTTTCATTGGTCGTTACCACATTGAGAATTCTTTCTAGTTTGTTATGTTAATTACTTGGAAAAAAAAATGAAATTCTCATCTTTCCCCTACTAACCATGGATTTGAGAAGAATAACATACTTATAATTCTTTACACGGTTAAAAATATACATATACATATCCATATACATATACATACATACATACATACATACATACATACATATATATACACAGATATATCTTGACTTAGGAGAACATTTTAGGAGTTTGTCCAATGAATTAAGCAAAATTGGCAGAACAATAAACCCTTACAATCAATTAATTAATCTCATGTCGACATGTGTATAAGCATTTAAATCATCAAAAGAAATATCAAAAGCCCTCAGCGTGGCTGCGAGGCTGTCAATTGCCTATGTATAGCCATTTGATGGACCCAAATTTAATTGAAGATGAAACTATGGAAAGAAACTACAAATTTTGATGGAGAGAGCAAAGGAAATTTTCTTTTCCATTGAAAATTTTGGGTAAAGGTATGATGAATAAGTTGGCGCAAACCAGAATCCAGTAACATAACTGTTACCAGCTACCACCAAATCAAGCAAAGTAGATATGCATTTAAATCATCAAATAACATACACAATCCCAAAGCAAGGGTGCATGGTTAAAGACAAAAACTAAGAAAAGAAACCACAAAACTTTGATGGAGGGGCAAAGGACTGAGGCAGCCAATGCAGAACTATGCATAAGACAAAATTGTGCATAAATACTGGCATTCTGTCCTTGTAATATGCACGAAGATGGTAGAATATACAAGGGAAATTACGAGGGAAAATGGGAAAAAGAAATACGAGGGAATCCATATATTTTTAGTTTTTGTTTTTGATAGAGCCCTATGCATACTTCTAAACATCTTTTTGCATGGACTAGTTTTACTTTGTACCCTCCAACTTTTACGTATTTCTCATTCTATATCATAAATTCAATTTTGGGTACTCTAAATTTTCATCTCCATCCCATTTGCATTCAACGGTTAACATAAGCAAAGCTAAGGGAAGTAAGGGGCAAGCACATAACGATTGAGTATAGCAATTGCAAATTAGTAAAAAAGGACTAATTCTACTCTATACCCCTAACTTGTATACTATTTAACTCTACAGTCTAAATTTTAAATTTGGGCAGATTACCGTCTTCTAAATTGTTGAATCTATCCTATTCCAATCCAATCATTAACTCCGAAAGAAAACACCATGATCTGTACATGATTTTGTCTCACAACTGGTGCAATCAATCCTCTTGTTCTTTTATCAATTTTAATTATCTATAGATTAATTTGTTTTTGTGAAAGCTCAATATCTCTTATTTAAGCTTTTGTTTTTATTTTAATTCTTTCGTTTCTTTCGATGACAATGGCAAAATTAGTTACTCTCTCATCTTTTGCACATAAATATATTTGCTTCTTAGCTCGAAGCATTGAATATGTTTAGGTGAATTTCTGATGAACGAATTACAATATTTCAAAATCAGTCCAATCTATACTTTAATTTCTCCACAAGCGGCTTTCCTTTAACATAGATGTGACTGCATTATTTTCCTATTTATTTTTCCCCTTACCGTATCTTGGATTGTTTTTGTTTTTTGGTGTACTCCTATTAATTGCAACACAATTTATTATTCTCTTGCTTTTGTACAGATTTACATGCTTCCACTCTGAATTTGACAAATGCATTGCTTTTGGAGTATATTTTGGTTCATTCATCTATGTAATTCCATATTAAATTGAAGGGGAATCGAGTAAGGTAATTTTACTTAGGGTGTTAAGAACCAAACTCAAACAGGATGAATGCAAGATTTGAGGGTTTGGTGCAGTTTGTTCAAAATTGAAACTTAAAATGCAAAATCAAGATTCTATACAAGTTAGAGGGTGCTATAAGGAAATAATCCTTTTACTGATTTGCAATTGCTCTGCTCGTGCATGGTCTCATACTTCTTACGTCCGTTAGTTTTGCTTACAGTGCTCTAGCAAATATTAAAAGTTCTCACATACTTTTAAAAGTTCTCTAGTAAATTTGTTCCTGTTCCCTAAAAAAATGTTGATATCTACATAACCAACAAAACTAATTCAATAATAATCTATGTATAGAGGAAACTAAATTTTTTTATTTATTTTAAAATCACTACCATATGGAGTAAGATTGGATTTAGGTGTTGTGGGTGTCTATGACAAGATAGAACTTTATCACTCATGTTCTTCTTTTTTATTTTTACTTTTTTACTTTTTTTCAAGAGGATTTATTAAATTCAATTTAAAATACATTAGTACTCTTCATGGAGACTTTAAATTCAACATTGGATGAAGGTTATTTTTGTTATTTTACACAATGAGGGGAGGTATGTCTAATTTTTCAAACTTGGAGGGTACTGCCTGAAAATGTAATAAACCTCAGGGGAGGATTGTGAAATTATCCCCTGTTAAATTGCAAATTTGTAATTCCTAATACATGTTTAACTTGAATGTTACCGTTTTTGGAAAAAAAAAAGTACATGTTTGACTTGTGAATAGGAGCAACGATATAAGTAAAATTGTTCTGGACAATTTTCAAAAACCTGTTAATAAAATTTTCTTTTTACAAAAAAAAAAAGAGAGCAAATCATCATAATATAATCGCTATACGGATCAAATTGCAAATTGAACGGATTAGTTTGTTAACATCGTATGACCACTTTCAACAACAGCCATAGGAATATTTTTTTTTTCAGCAGACAACTACTCAAGGCCCAGCGTCATTCCGAGCTACCACCACTAATCCTGGTAATAATTGGAAGACCTTGCTTTCTGCAAATATATTAAATCTATAATTGGAGTATTTTGATAGGAAATCTTATTAATTCGACCAAGGGCTCATCCACAGGCAATATTAATTTATTATAACTAGGATGAGTGAGACAAACATTTAGAAACTTTTAAGCAGCCAATTGATAGAAGTTCATATTTGAATCCAGAACTTCTAATTGATCTTAATTTTGACAACTAGATCAGGTCTCCCATTGATCGACAGCTAGCATAGTTATCAAAAAATAGCAAAATTGAAGAAAAGTAGGCTGTAATTTTAACAAATTGAACCCTGAATCACCCTGGTAGATCTGATAATCACATTGAACCACAAAGGGGATAATTAACTATATGAGTACTAGCTAACATAAGTTGGCTCAATTGATAAGAACTGGACATTTACTCACAAAAAATCTCCATTGTTGATATGA